GAGGCCGAGAGTCGAGGCGACGAAACGAGTGGTCCCGATTCCAGATTCCCGATCCGGGTGAGGTGAGGAAGAGGAGTGGTGGGGGGAGGGGTGGCGAGTAGAAGGGACGAGGGGCCAGGGATCGGCGAGCCTCACACGCCAACGTCAGTGTGGTTGCCTACGCCCAGGGCGTTGATCTGGAGCAGCGCGTACACCCAGAAAAATGTTTTCTTATTTCAAGAACATTTTGACCTAAGATCAATTTTACTCTTCACACAAGATGATATTACCTTTCGTTTAAGAAAATTTTTCTTACTTGAAAGAAAAAATCGTCTTGGTAACAAGAAAAAAAATAATCTTGGGTCACTTCTAGTACAAATGTACTTGAAACAAGAAATCATTTTTCTGTGTGTGTGATTGCAGACGCGTAATCTTCCGCAATCTCGCGTAATCCAATGTAATCCCATGTAATCCTACGTAATCCCATGTAATCCTGCGTAATCCCATGTAATCCCGCGTAATCCCATGTAATCTTGCGTAATCTCGCGTAATCCTGCGTAATCTCGTGTAATCCTCCGCAATCATACGTAATCTTTAGTAATCCCTTGTAGTCCCGCGTAGTCCCACGTAGTCCACCGCAGTCCACCGTAATCCCGCAATCGTGTGTACGCTCAAAAATGGAGTGGTGGCCCCCTCGCTGCTGGCAGCCCTGCTGGCAGCCCCGCCAGGTAGGGCAGGGTCCACCTGCCCCAGAGGTGCCTGGCCGGGGACCATTGTCACCTGGATACTTGGACATAAGTAATTGGTCACCCCCACCAGGGCTGGCCATTGTCGCGCTGCTAGAGTCGCATCAGCCGGCACAGCGGGGACTCACTCTCTCTCTCTCTCTCTCTCTCTCTCTCTCTCTCTCTCTCTCTCTCGTGTGCCCCATTGGAGGTCGACCCGGACCTCACAAGTCTGCACCTCATTCACCAGGTGCGTCTGTACGACGATACCTGTGTGTGTACGTGTGTGTGTGTGTGTGTGCGGCACGAGGCCCGGGCCCCCACTGGGCCCCCTCTCATCACCTCACAGCTCCACATGGTTTAAGTAGCCTGATGTGCCATTGATTGCCTCGCCTCCTCCACCCCAGAGACCTCACCTCAAAAATATTTATAAAAAGGAGTTGCGGAGCAGAGCGGCCGCGTCCGATGCGGAAATGCAATGCAAACGGTCCGGATGACAATGGCACGGGGGTAAAACCAGCTCGTCCTCCTTTTGCGACGTCCCTCTCCTTCTCTCTGCTCTCCTCCACCACCACCACCACTCACCATCACCACCACCACCACCACCACTAGCACCACCTCCACCACTCACCATCACCACCTTCAGCAGCGCGCGGCCTTCCCCGCAGCGCGCGCGCACCAATATAACCATCTCATTGCCGCATATCCCCTCCCCCCCGTCCCCCCCTCCCCCTTCGCGTCACTAATATTGATGCGGCCGATGCTCACAGGATTCCAGATGGCTGCCGCCGCCGCAGGGGAGGGAGAAAAATAATCGAGCGAGTCCGTGATTATCAGCGGAGGAGGGGAGGGGAAGGGGGAGGGGGGGTCTATACGTCTTCATAACGTCAGTGTGGGTGGGAATTGATTTCGATGAGGAGAAACAATGAGAGCAATAAGCAGCAGGGCAGCGGCGGGCGCAACGCAGGTGGCCGAGGAGGACTGGTGGAGTGGGGGCATCTGACGGCCAACTAGAGCAGCAGCAGCAGCGGGCAGGGGCGCGCCGTGCCACTCGAAGAAGTTATGTTTGTCGCGGAGGTGGTCGGGCGGTCGAATTTGTGCACACGGAGCGCCCGGCCGAACCCGCCCCCTCCTGTCGCATTATGTTCCCGAGGATTACATCGTCTTTTTGAGAGGGTGACGACCGGCCGACCGCCGCCGCTGCAGCAGCGAGCAAAAGGCTTTTGTCGGGATTTTTTTTTTCCTGAATGAACCGGTGGTGGTTGTGTGTTGGTGAGGAAAAGAGGAAGAGAGCAGGGTGCGGGGTGGATGGAAACCGCAGCGGGGCGGGCCGGGCCCGGCAGCGGTGATGTCGGCCGCTGACACCCATTCATGAAGAGGGCCCCGCGTTCAAATTGAGACATAACTCGTTTTAATATCCGTCGCTCAGTAGGTTAGGTCCCTGCCGGTCCCCGCCGCGGCCCGGCCCGCCCACTACGGCTCGGGGGCCATACATTGCCTCGGCCAGGGCCCGGCCAGCACACGGCCCAGGCGGCCCGATGACAGCGGGAGCGACTCGAATGGGGCCATCTCATCTCTCCCGTCGCTTTTAGAATTCATCTTCGGTATTACCATGTGTGAGTGTGTGTTGTATGCGTTCGTGTGTGTGTGTGTGTGTGTTACACGCAATAAAATTTTTCCGTTCAAAGTTATGAATGAGGCAGCGCAGGGCGACGACGTGTGTATAAAAGGCCAAACGCAGCGATGCGGGGGCACACGCATCATCTCGGGGTGGTCCAGACGGGGAGACCCACTCGAAAATTTATTTGACGTCATTATCAATATGAAATATCCACGCAGTGTGAAACTGTTTGAAAAAGAGTAAGAAAAAAACAACAACTCGGCGATGATGGGGAAAATTGCAGAAGTCGCGATCGTCGGTATATAGTCATGATAATGGCACGTCTGCGGCAGGGGATGTTAGGAAGATCTTCAAAGGAAGGGGAGAGAAACGGGAGAGCGAGCGAGAGAGAGAGAGAGAAATAAAAAGCGTTTCCAAACCGGAAATAAACAAAAGCCGCGTGCGCTGCGCGGCGCACCTCGGCTGATGCGACCCTCCCACCCTTTTGCCGTTTTGGTGTCGGCTTACTGCTGTGATTGGCCGTCTGATTGTCCAAAGGGCCAAATTATAGGTTTGTATCGAGAATAAACACATCCGCCCCGCAAAGCTTTTGTCGTCTTCCGCTCAGTTTTTTCATCTCTCTCTCTCTCTCTCTCTCTCTCTCTCTCTCTCTCTCACACACACACACACACACACACACGTTCACCAACCCCTTTTTTTATTTACTCCGTTTCCTCAATGGGCGCGACCACATACTACTACTACCGCCACCGACACTTCCTCTTTTTATATCATTATTATTATTTATTTACAACGCTCCGTGACAAGCTCATTACCTTACCGCCCTTTTGTCGGCCCCCCGGCAAACCGCAAGGCGGAGCCGCGCTGCACCGGGGGGACAGAAAGGGGGGGGGGAGGGGAGGGGGGGAGGGCTGAGAAGGAGAGGGAGGAAGGGGAGGACGCGTGCTGTGGGAGAGAAGACCATAGAGAGAAGACCATGTGGGTCACTTCGCCCCGCCACAGCTGATAGCAGGACGGCCGGCCCCTTCCGCGCGACAGGATATGACGTTCGTTAAATGTTTTGGCGCACAGAGAATAATAATGATGAAATGACGAATTAAATAATAATGGTGAAATTAATAATAATGTGCATGATGACGTCGTGAGCGTGTTGCCGTGTGGCTCTCAGCTGAGCAGACGACTGTGTGTGTGTGTGCGTGTGTGCGCGCGCGCGCGCGTGTGTGTGTGTGTCTCCCGCCCGCCGGCCGCGGCTCGGCTCGTCTTTGAAGTGCTGCCACGCCATGAGAGTCGCGCGAACAGCGTCCTGGATGTGTGTGTGTGTGTGTGCTGCCCATCCGGCTTAGGGCGTTTAGAAAAGCACTGTGTACACTATACGTTACGCGCTGACCCCATATGCATGCACCCCGACGACCCAAATCAGCTGACCCAGTTCCTAATCTCTTTCTCTCTCCGTTTCTGCCCCGCAGGGTGCCGCGAGACGGCCTTCATCTACGCCATGACCTCGGCGGCGGTGACGCACGCGGTGGCGCGCGCCTGCTCCGAGGGCAGCATCGAGTCGTGCACGTGCGACTACAGCCACCAGGCGGCCGCGCTGCCGGGCCTGCACGGCGCCAACGGCCTGGGCGTGGGCGTGGGCGGTGCTGGGCTGCCCATGCACTCGCTCGTGTCCAACTCGGCGGTGGGCCCGCCCGGGCCGCCCGGCCGCGGGGTGCGCGACTGGGAGTGGGGCGGCTGCTCCGACAACATCGGCTACGGCTTCCGCTTCTCCAGGGAGTTCGTGGACACGGGCGAGCGGGGCCGCTCGCTCCGGGAGAAGATGAACCTCCACAACAACGAGGCAGGCAGAGCGGTAAGTTTAAACACCCCAAACTAGCACCCAGAAAACCGCACCGTTGATTTCACGCCAAAAAACACTCCCGTTGTTCCAAAGGAAATTTCGACTTCGATGTAAGGCTATGATTTCAGTTTGTTTGAGGGAACTCCCTCGGATTGAAGGAACAGCAATTTTTGGCTTGAAAGCAAAGGTACGTTTTCCTGGGTGCAAAATTTCCCCAGCCTGTCTTTTGCGAATTCGGCGATGACTCTCCCTTCCTCTCCACTGGCCGTGTGTGTGTGTGTGTGTGTGTGTGTGTGCGGCGCGCCCGATGCGCGCACGCTCTGCCGGGGAGAAGGGGTCATGATCAGGACGGGGTTCGGGAGGGGGAGCGGGAGGGCGGAAGAGAAGGAGAGGGGGGGGGGAGGGGCGATCTATTGCGGGAACGCAAAACGCTCCTGCCCGCGGCCGGCTGGCTGCTGCCTTCTCTCATAATCCATGAATTATAGGTTTCCGAGAACAAATAAATAGAGCAGAGCAGCGAGCGCTCCGCGTGTATTTCGGAATGTTTTCCCTGGCCGCGCCGGCCGCGCTGGCGCACCTCGAGGGGCTGCCGAGAGACACTCCCGAGCGTGATGGATATGGGTGATCTATTTCCCCGCCGCTCGCGGGCCTGGGCCTCGGCCTGGGCCGGACCCGGACCCATTGAGGAGTGTCAGCAGCCGCAGCGGCGGCAGCGCGCCGCCCGGGCCCGGGCGGATGTAACGCCAATCTTATCGCCGTACGTCTTGCGCCGCTTTCGTCACGCGTCCCCATCGTGTATCGAGGTGTCGCGCTGGCGGGCCGGGCGGGCCGCGGGTTCGACCCCCCGCAGCTGCCCGAACGGAGGGATGAAGTTGTTTCTCTCCCTTTTGCCTTTTCTTTCATTTCCTCACAGCCCCCCCATATACGTCGCCGATTCGAATAGGACCCATTGCTTTGGTTTGGGGGGGGGGGGGTCAGAAGGAGGAGGAGGAGGAGGAGCTTCAGGATTCAGCGACGCGTGACGCGGAGTCTTTTCGTCGAAACTGTCGTGATGGGCCCGGCCTCGCTCTGCTCGGAGCGCGTCGGGCCGTGAAACGCGGGCAGCGGATCACCCACGACTAATCAAACAATGCTCATGCAGGCCAGGGCGGCTCATCCTGCGCGCGCATGTGTGTGTGTGTGTGTGTGTGTGTGTGAGCCATTGGCACACGCAATGGCAACGGCGGAAAAGGCAACGGCGAGGCGAAGAGGGGAGGGGGAGGGGGGAGAAGAGGGTCGAGAACCAGGCCGCGGGGCCGCGGGCCGTGCGTGTGTTCGTGTCTGTCTATGACTGTATATATGTTTGGACGGGCCGTGGCGCGGCGGGGCGTGGTGCCCCCCGCAGACCTTCCTCCTGCCCCCCCCCCCCCAATCCCTTCCCCATGACCGCACGCCAACTACTTCACGCCGAGACCGGCAATCAACGGCTTAATTCCCTCTTATTTGTACCCATTCCGGAAGGAGTATAATCACGCGCGTATATATGGCAGCCGCGGACACCGGTCGAGTTCGTCCAGGGAAACTTTAGAGGGGTAGAAAACCATTGCGAAACAGCAATAAAAAATTGCCGATTTTTTTGAAGTTTTATTTTTAAATGGCGTTATGGAGGGTGGGGGAGTGGAGAAAGCAGGCGCCATTTTTTGGGGGTGCCGCTGCTTCGCTGCTTGGTGGCCGCGGGCCGCGGCTCCTCCGCCGGCAACAGTGTTGCTTCCGGCCGGGCCAGGGCCGGGCTAATGAGAGGCTCCGCTGCCGTTTACGAGGCTTCATTAAGACACCTTATCTCTGCGGCCATTCCCAACCGATCCGTCAGGTTAATGCGGGAGTGCGCAGCGGCCCGGGGAGGAACGGAGGAACCGGAGCTGAACCCGTGACCTTTCAGAGCCCTGGCTGACCGTTGCAATAACTCGCTTTTCTCTCCTATGTTTGCAGCACGTGGCCTCCGAGATGCGGCAGGAGTGCAAGTGCCACGGCATGTCGGGCTCGTGCACGGTGCGGACCTGCTGGATGCGGCTGCCCAGCCTGCGCGTCGTCAGCGACAACCTCAAGGACCGGTTCGACGGCGCGTCCCGGGTGCTCGTCAGCAACTCGGGCAACGCGGCCGGCGTCAGCAACCGGGTGAGCAAGGCGCACCTCAGCAACGTGGCGAACCGCGCCCACGCGCGCGAGGAGCGGGGCAACAGCGCCCGGCCCAACATGCCCCCCACGGCGCCGCACCGGGGCAACGGCGGCAACGGCGGCGGCGGCGGCGCGCGGCGCAACCGCTACAACTTCAAGCTCAAGCCGTACGACCCCGAGCACAAGCCGCCCGGCACCAAGGACCTCGTGTACCTCGAGACGTCGCCCGACTTCTGCAACCGTCACCCGCGCCTCGGCATCCAGGGCACGCACGGCCGCCAGTGCAACGACACCTCCATCGGCGTCGACGGCTGCGACCTCATGTGCTGCGGCCGGGGCTACCGCACCCAGGAGCTGCACGTGGTGGAGCGTTGCGCCTGCACCTTTCACTGGTGCTGCGAAGTCAAGTGCAAGCTGTGCAGGGTCAAGAAGACGGTCCACACCTGCCTGTGAGGCCGCCTACACCGCCCGCCGGGCGGCCGCGCCCTCGACACAAGCGTGTACATAGCATAGTATACATATATATATTTTAAAATACATTACCTGTACATAGGTCGAAGGCCCGGCCGCTGCGGCGGTCGAGGGCTCGTCGGTGCCGGCAGACCCCCTGGCACCTGCAACGCAACCAAAGTCAGTGTGTAGAAATAAGGTTGTCTTTCCGTTGAATGTTTTGTAAATCAAGTTGTGTTTTTATTTGTATTATGATTGTTTTATTTTTCAATAGAAAAAATTAATGTTCCTAAATCAAAGGCGAGAGTCTATAAAAAAACAAAAAAACAAGAAGTAGCGTGTCAAATTGGTGACACGTGAACGCGTGATCTAAGGGCAGCGTGCCTTTATTGCCTCCGTATCGTACTCAAATGAACTGATATTTATTTCCTTTCTCAATTTGTTAATATAAATATAGCAGAGTTAGGGTCTATGGTAACCTTTCTAGAATGCTCCCAGGGCCATCATTCAATGGTTGTCTGACTTGGTTGAGCGGCTATAAACTCAAGTCCTGATCGTACTAACGTGTTCTTTTAGCATTATCAACAGTCACGTACGACGTGTAAAATGACATGTGTATTCTCTGCCATCTGAGTGGAGCGCTTGCCATGATTTTTAACAGTATTATTTCATCATGTTGATGAACCGCAGCTTATCTCTGCCCAAGAATTTTTGTATTAATATACGCTGCTGTACGATAGTCTGATTAAATCGTTTTATAATGTAATTATTAATTTGTATGTAAGATAATTTATTTATGCCTTGTTTAACCTGCAAAAGAGCAAAGATCCAAATTTTTACGGTGTCTTTACGATAAACAATGCGTTTTGCTTCGCGCTAGTCAAAAGAGCAACAATGTTTTAGTGTATATATTATGCAGACTTTAATTGTGTACACATCCTACATTGAGCAGCCAATGTACATACCGTTTTCTGTTATTGTTTGCGAATTATGTTCTTCGCAATATGATATTAACTTTCATTATGTCCTTGCCATATTCTGAGTGATTTAGAGAATGCACAAGAGCATGTTACTTAAAAAGTTTTTGTTGCTTAGGTATTATAGGATAATCAAATAATCTAAGAATGAAGTACTGATTCCCGTTTAATTAAATTATTGTGAAAATGAATTGTGTGGTGGAGATCATTGTGATTTGTAAATAGACAAAGCCCTCACTCTATGCTTTGTTTATTCCTATTTGTAAACATCTTCTCAGTGACTTAAATATTCCATCATCGGCAAAACAATTCTGAAATTTTTGAGTAGAAACCAATTGAATATTTTTATTTATATCATGAAATTGTAACAGAACATTAAATGTGCCATGAACATAAGGACGGTTCCCCCACTTTAGTACAAAATAGAACTATTACTTTGTATTACGTTGATATGGTTAAGGTCACTGTCTTCCATTAGATTTTAAAAATGTACCTTTTATGACATTGTTCCTAGTTTCCAGTACATTCTGTCATGGCAACTCAATTGTCACGTTTATTAAAACAAATCTGTTTTTCTAAATCGAACCGTTTACTTTCCATGTGACACAAAAACAGTCCTTTTCCCCGGAGGTGCAAAACGAATCCGCATCGCACGCCGCGCCCACTAACACAGTCGGGGCGAGACAGAAGGTGCGAGAGAGGCGGGGGCCGCGAGTGAGAGCGAGAGAGAAGGTGCCAGAGAGGTGGGGGCCGCGAGTGAGAGCGAGAGAGAGGTAATTAATGTTCCCACGGTGCCGCCGGCGGGCAGGCGGAGAGGTGGAGCCGGCAGGCGGACTCCAGGAGGAGCCCGGCTCCAGGAGCCCGGCTCCAGGAGCTCCAGGCTCCAGGCACCGCAGGCCGACTGGAGGGAGAGGTGACATGTGACGCTGCCGTGCTGACACAGGCGTAGAGCTCGGCCGGAGCGGGGCGGGGTCGGGTCGGAGACCTCAACGCTGGGCCGACCCGAAGATCAACACCATCAAACACACTCCGCACAACATTAACACTATTATTTTTATTATTATTACTTTTGTTGTGAGTATTATTATTTTGACCGGCCCGGGCTGGGCCCGAGAAGAGGAGCATGGGTACTTTAAAATCGTCCGGCGAGAGAGGAGACGATGATGGTTTTTCGAAGAGAAAATAAACACTACACAGGCGGGCAGGTTGGCCGGCGACACATGCGGAAGGAGGAGGGATGCAAAAGGGCGCGCGCGCGCGCGTGTGAGTGTGTGTGTGTGTGTGTCTTTGTGTTTGTGTGTGTGAGGGGGAGGGGGAGGGGGAGGTCCAAGAGTGTACACTCAGGTGAGCACGTTCCACGCAGTGCCATGTTTCACGCCAAGAAGCCCTCGAGCGAGGCGACGACGACCGCTGTGCAAATGCACTCTGGGCGCCACACGGAAGACAACCCTGGCCGAGAGGCGGCAGTGCAAACCCCTCGTGATTAGGATGCTGGGAACCGCGCGCCGGCGAGCGGGCAGGACCTCCGTGAAGTTGGCCCCACCCATTGCCGTACTAATTCTGCCGATAGTA